GAGAGAGAGAGAGAGAGAGCACCTGTTAAAAAAATAAATAAAATATCTAAACCAATTTAACATCAATTTTATTGGCGAAAATAAAAAATAAATAAAATATCTAAACCAATTTAACATCAATTTTATTGGCGAAAATATAAAAATAAAAATAAAATTTTAACGTTTGGTGGTGGTGGATGGTAATGTTAAAGCGATTGTCCGGCAACTTCCAATGACGATAAAATCCGCTCTTATCACGACGTTATCCACCCCAATAAGAAGCATGTTACCCATCCTGTCTACGTCGATGGTGATGTAATTGATGAGTGATAATGAAGTTCGTTTTGACGCAGATGGTGATAGCGATCGTGACGTCTATGGTCAAGATGGTGACTGTCTCATTATTAACTCATCGAGCGGATCCTAGTCTCAACCCGAAGCTAGGTTGTCGGAGCTCATGCTGCTCCCCTCAATGTCACATCAGTTCTGACATCACCTCTCATATCTCGTCGAGTCAACATAGATGCAAATAGCGTAGGACAAGTGGTGATGAGACTAGTGGCACGCTCCTCGTGGAAGCGAGTGGAATCGCGATGAGAGTGAACCTTATCATCATCGAAAGCAGCTAAGCAACTTCATCGATATCAATGCGATACTACCACCGTCTATCATCGAACGTTAAAATTATCATTTTAATAGGATAAATGGACCTACATATTTCCTTCTATATCATTTTTTTTAAATATAATTAGCCCCATTCACCCGAGGACAAATGTGGGTCCCAAAGCCTTAAATATGATATATATATCTATATATAGAGAGAGAAAGAGAGGTGAAGGTGTTTGAAGAAATGCCAAGCGCTCTCAGGGACAAATGTGTGCGTCGATAGCTTTTCTGCCTGACATGGTATGGAGAAGATCATGTCCCAAAAAAAGACGATGGAAGCGCAAGCAAGCAAGCAAGCGCCAGAGAGAGAGAGAGAGAGAGAGAGAGAGATATCACCTTGCTTTATTCTACGTGCTACTTCTGCTATTAGATATGTTGCATCTTCTATAGGGGCACTGCACAGGGTTGACTCGGGGGCAGAAGACACTATCATATTTTGAGGACAAAGAGGTTACCTCAGAGCCATTCTTTTGTTGTTGTTACTATTTCAAGCTTGAAAGCTCTGGGAGATGACAATGGCAGCAGTAACATTCAGGATCCCCGTGAGGGCTCCAAACCGGTAGATCATTTCACAGTCCATAAAGAAGAAGAAGAAGAACACCAAGCATTTTATTATTCTTGCTGATGCATCATGTCCTATCAAGCAACGAAACATTGCTTGCTTCCAAGAACTTGACATGGCTGACAAAACAGGGGATTAGAACTGAACCAATCCAAAATGCAGTCACAGGGATCAACTTGACTTGTTTGTTGTGAAGAATGTGGGAGGTCACTGTTTCTTCCAGTATTTTTCTATACTAGGAGTATGTTATTACCTGAGGTTTGCATTGGGAACATCCAGTTTCTGGCTACATTATTTTGGTGCTGTGTGGGTAAATACATGGAGTAGTCAAACTTGAATCTGCATTAGGTCAAGTCTTGTTGCTTGTTATAGAAATATTAGACATTGTATGTTTGCTTGTGCCATTCATTTGCATTTGAACAAGAAGCACTGATGATTAACATCATTGAGATATTGAAATGAGTGGCTTTTTTCCACTGTACAAGACAACATTTTCAGTCAATAATAGAAAACATTCAATCTCTACTTTTTAATTTCCAATACAATATTCTTATAGCTCAGTTAAATCTCTATTGATAGTTTCTGGTGACATCACAAACATGATTTTGTGTTTCTTTTTCTCTTTCAGATCATGATACATCAAATAGGAATTTGTAAGCAAGCCTTTGATCTACTTGCAAGAACTTGAAAGTATATTCTTCACTGCACATGGATTACAGCAAATTTCTGTACAATTGCATGGAGAACAAGTTCTGTATCTCCCCTTATACACCACAAAGCAATTCTAACACCAAAGCTTGAGATATCTTTTTAGCAGTTCTCACCAATTTTGTTGGTTTTCAGATTTCTTCATTGCCAATCTTTGTTTCCTCTGCTTCTTTTTCTTTTCTGACTTCTTCTTTCTCCCTTTATTCAGCAGATTCATTGACTTGGAAGAGAATCCACAAGAACAGGCAAAACCTCTTCCTCCACATTGATCCTTTGAAGATCTGAATGCCTTGTAATTGCCTTCATCCTAAGCCTCTTGCTTCAGATCCTTTCATTATCCTGAGTCTTTTGCAGGAAGAGATGAACATCCTACAAGAAGAGATGCATGTATGTCAGCTCATGCAGTAGAGGGAGAAGCAAACACCATCAGAGAGATCAGACACTTACTCCCATGGGACATCTCCAACCAACATCAAGTCTCCATCTTTGTCTTCGTAAGCCATGGCATGTTCAGATCCAGTGCACCCTTCTGCCCCAGACGCTTCTCCTGGAAGATGTAATGCAAGATTTCTTTGCATCATCGTGCTTGTTGTTATCCATGGTTATCATGCATGTTACTGAGGATATGCTCCCTTACCCAGAGAAAAGCATCCGAACATGTCCTCCAAGGCTTCCCTGAGCTCCTTGTAACCCCTGTAAACCCTAAGATCAATCTTCCTCAAGTAGGGAGCCCCGTCCATGCTAACCTTCACGTAAGATCCGGCGACTTCCGCCTCCGCCTTCCTCGCCCGGAAGCTGTTCTTCCTGTACGACTGGATCGGCGGCCACCCCACCACTCGAGCCCTGTCATTTCAACAAACAGTCATCAGCAAAAGCCACGCCCCGCCATGTCTTCCCCAACAGCTCTTGCAGAACCGCTCTCGCAGGCTTACTTGCTCTTGCCATGGCTCTTCTCGTCGTCCTCCGGCAGCGCTCGTTTGCTTCCCCTCGTTGCTACCGGCGCGTGGGTGCCGGGCAAACCGAGCCTTAGCTCGGTGTCCTTGACGTAGCTCGCCTCAGCCTCCATGTCCCTTAGATTCCACAACGATCACAGGTGATGAGAAGAGAAGGAGGGATGATATAGACTTGTAGTCCAACATGGAAGGAAGAGTAAGAGAAGGCATGCAGTCTCCGGGCTTCCATGCATGGGAAATCACGGTATCGACAACTGGCTAGGGTTGTGTGTTGGACGACGCAGGACACCCACGAGGACCATGCAGGAACAAAGATCGGACGGCTAGGATTCATCGAAGGACGGCGTCGGAAAGATCTCGACCGTCGATCTGACGGCAGGCAGCCCATGTGTGGGCATGTGATCGAGGCGAGCCAACGCAAACATGGCCTTACTTTGGATCCAATCATAATGGAGGAGCACATGAGATGTTAGGGTTTGGTCTGCGGGCCACACACCATCTTCAAATCAACTCATTCATTGATGGTTATGTAGGACATGAGGAGAGACAAAAGTCAAGCTTGTGTCTGCTTTCTACTCCTTGTCTCTCTTTCCTCTTCTTTTCCTAGCTTCAAGTTGTGATGCTGAATTATTTAGTGTTGGTATCACAGACATACTTGTTTGAATCAAAAGACTTGCATGGCCAACATTTACTCCTCTACTTGTTTGAAGAACATAATTAACTCATTAGTTTGATGAATCTGAATCACCAATCCAAGATGCTTAAACTTAATAATAGTAACCTCATTAGAGATCAATTTTTGCAAAGAATTGGAAGATGGTTAACCTTCACTCTTTCACTAATCTCATCACAGATAAACTAAGATCATCTGTTCCTCCAGCTTTGCAGTGCAAGAAGCACTGCTGCTGACCATTTCCTGAAGAGCAAGGCTTTGTTCAATCTAAATGCAGTGATAGGATGCAGCATCAAAACAGCAAATCCTTGTGAATTGTATACACCTTGATGTTGCCATACTCATGAACATGGTTGTAGTGAGCTCTCCTTGAGCTCTGAACGAGCAGGTACTACTGGTAAGTAGCATACACCCACACTGAGGGGAGATCACCATGTCCAGGGGAGCATTTGGAGACTGAGAACACACATGACAACAAGACCTCAAAACCTGCTACCTGCCCAGCAAACCGTGCTGTGTCCCATCTGCTTGGCAAAGATGGTGAAAGTTGTTGGATGCTGGTCCAAATGGTGAGATGTGAATCAATACCACCCACCCCATTTTGGAAGATATGAAGTCATGTCACCTAACACTCAACACTGTGAGCTGCAATCTGAAAACTAGTCAGATTGGGAGGACACCAACTCCAGAGAAAAAGGACAGATTGCTGTTGGCACAAGTGGATGTTGGGAAGAGCTTAGCATCAAGGCAGAGAGTTGGAAGCACATCCTGAGTTGTGCTTTACATCAATCTTCTTTGTTTCTTCTTAGCAGAAAGGTGTATACACACTCTCAAGGAGCATGTAGGATTGATCTGCTCGACCATGCATCACAATCCTTGAAATGTGTGTATTTTTCTTGATGTCATATCTGTAGTGATCTAATGGAAGACTTGTTGGTCCTCTCTGTATTTGTTTACTGGTCCATGAAATCTACAAGAAACAGCATTTTCCTGGAGAACCTCTTCATTAAAGCTGTTTTGCCATGATGCATAGTTTTGTGATGATTGCATTCTTTTCTTCCTCCTCAGAAGTCTCCCAAAAAGTTGAAAAGTTTCTTTCCCAATGATTCTATTGTCTGTGCCAAATTTTAATTCAAGTTAGACCATTGGACATCTAACATTTCTTTGTATTTAGATAGGGGGATCATATGGCTACTGTTCTTAATATAAATAACATGTGTTTTGTACATGTCACAATTTAGATAAATAGTTATTCAATCTCAAATAGATTATTAAATAAGCAAAAAAAAAAAAGACACATGAAAAGAGTGAGAGTGAGGAAGAAGGTAACACAAAATAAAGAAAATAAATGTCTTCTTGTTGTTAGGAAGAATATATGAGTTATTCTGTATTGACAGATGTCTGAGCCATACAACTATAAAAAATAAAAAATAAAACAGACAAAAGGACTATATATAGGTATAAAGAATTGAGGAATAAAGAAAGGCATTCTTTTGAATTTAATTGGTTTTAAGAGAGGCTTTAAAAGATGAGCCATATATTGATGTCCTCCTGTCAAAAGAAGGGTAGCTACAGTGAATAGACCATAACTCATCCACTGATGCTGCCCACTCCATCACCCTATTAATTATACATCTCAAGAGAGAGAGAGAGAGAGAGAGAGAGAGAGAGAGAGAGAGAGAGAGTGTGTGTGTGTGTGTGTGTGTGTGTGGGAATAGGACAAATTCATCATATCATATGCAAGAGCATCATGAACAATCATTAAAAAATGAAAAAACCACAAAAGGTATTTTATCAAAAAGAAAAATGACATCTCCCATATTAGGTGTTCCTTTTTTTTTTCAACTTGAATGAAAATATGCTTAATTTTTTACTAAAATAACTTGATCACATATGTTTTCCAAAATGATAATTAGTTATTACAATTTTTTTAAAAATAAAAAAATAATATTAATCATCTTAGAATCATTAAGACATGATCTTAAGATAATTAGTATTATTTTTTTTATTTTTTTAAAAAATTAAATAATTAATTATCAAAATTAAGAATTCCTTTCAAATATGAAGGAACAAATAAAATCAATTTTTTATTTGAGGGGTACAAAATATCCAAAGAACACCTATGGTCTGACCAGCTAAGAGAGAAGTAAGCTTGAGGGGAGGAGGGGGTGTGGGTAAGCAATGTGGCAGTCTCTACTACCATAGGAAACCAAATGCAAAACAGGTGTTCAATCAAATCAATTCAAGATCAGATGTGAATGCAAACTGAAACCCACATCACAATCAAACACACACATTCCTATCTTCATGGTCATCTCTAATCCTGTATCTTTGCAACACCACAGTGGGGAGAGATAGTGCCCTCAGGGAGCAGCAGAAGGCAGGAAAGGCAGTACTTGTTTTACTCATTGAGCATTCAAGAGCCACCACTTTACCCTCTCTTTTTTTTTTTTGTTCTTTTTTTTTTTTTTTGTGGAGTATTGGATATGTTTTTGGAATCCTCACCTGGCTCTTCTTTGCAGCACACAACTCCCAAAAAGACTGAGAAACTGAGAAATGGAGAGAGAGAGAGAGAGAGAGAGAGAGAGAGAGAGAGAGGAAAAAGGATCATTTGTGGAGTGAGAGACCATCAGTCTTCACATGACACTATACAGTAGGGTACTAAAGCTGAAGCTTTAAAACTCTGTTTGGACTTATTTCAAGGAAGGGGGACCACCCCTATCAGGCTATCTGACTTCTCCTCAGCCATCCTTGTTGCATCTTCTTCTCCTTCTCCTATGTATGTTTGAGATCTGGGTATGGTGGTTTCTCATGCACAACACTTGCCATTTGTATGGGTTGCTTGAGTGGCTGGTAATGGGAGTTCTTATTGCCTTTCCCAAGCCAAGCCATGTGTGTTTCTGCATCATGCTCTAGGTACTGTTGGATTGAGAAACTTGGATGGGGTTTAAGAGTTTTAGGGTGTTACATTGCTCATTGATGTTCATCATCTAGTTCTGCAACATCTTCACTCTACTCATCACTGTAAGTGAAGAAGCATTAGATATTACAGTATGCAATTGTCCTGCTAGATTTCAGCTCAATTTGAAGTCTTGATTAGTTTCTATGATGTTTCAACCTGTCGTCAACTGAGAAAAACCCTCATCTTCCCTTGTTCATCAATTCTAGACCTGGGAATTCCATGTTCATGGTGGTAGTTGCTTGTTAGATTCCATTGAGGTAGACCTTGCATGATATTGCATGAAATCTGAATGTGCAAATATATGCAGACCCTTTTTTCTAGGTAATGTAAGCTTAGTTCTCACTTTGAACTGCCTGATTTGGGTGGTATGCAGAACAGAGGCTATTTGTTCTTACTAATGTTCCTCGCTTCGATGATGATCGAGTGTTGTTGATTTTCAAGTATAATCAAAGGACAATCTTTTGTTTTGGTCACAAACTTTTTGTTTAGTTGCTATCGACTCCATGCCATTAGACAAAGAAGTGTTCATCTTGCAAGCTCTAACAGTAGATGCCATATTGCTAGAACACACAGTGTGCATCATTTCACCAGCCGTTCTTATGTTTGAATCCTTAATCTCAGAAGAACATGCCAAGGAATCATCTTCAAGAATTATAAGGCAACATCCGGTCACCAACATGGATGATCGGCCAACCTATTTTGAGGACTTCCATTCCTGTGCTTTTCACTTGGACAGAAGAAACCAAGATGATTTCCTTCAATTAAGCAGCATGCAGGATCAGCTCCACTCACCAGAAATGCAGTTCTTCGGACCAACCGATCCAGTTCAGGTTCGAGTAACCGAAGATTCTGCGATCGCCAAGAGGCATTCGGTGCATCCTCAAGGTGAGAAAGAGGATGATCTGCATGACTTCATATATGGTTGGACTCATGGCCTGTCATTAACTCTTGGTTCACGCTTATCATCCAATGCTGATGGTGCTTACGACTGCGAACCAGCAAAAGAACATGAGATTGGAAGACGAGATTTAAAGGAGCTCAATTGGCCAAGAGAAAGCTGTGGTACTCCTCAAAACCTGGCATCCATGGCCTCTGTACTCCAGCATTCTCGGTATCTGAAGCCTGCTCAGGAGCTGCTTGATGAGATTGTGTCTGTAAGAAGTGCAGCCGAGCTGAGTTCTGATGAAGAATTCAGAAGGATTAGGTCAGCTCGAATGACTAACAGAGCTGGTAGAAAGTCTCTGCAGGTGGAAGAAATCATCAACTGTGAAGGAAATTTGCAAGAAGCTAACAACTACTCATCTGAGGAGGATAAGCAGCATGATGTTGAAGTTAGAGTTGTGAAGCTTGTTGCCCTGTTGGATGAGGTACCACAACTGAATACTCCCTCTTCCTTTTCCCAAGTAATAATGGCACATTACATTGCAAACTGAAGCTCAAACTGCATATAAAGATCGATATCTCGCATCGTACATTGCAATTTAGTCTTCCTCCTTGATAAAGCTTACACCGAGTGTCTTCGACCATGTATACTAGGCCTATTAATGGATCCTGCTTTCCTCCTTTCGTATCTTGTTCTATGAATCTTGGCCCTGATACTTCTTGGCAAAATCATGATGGTGATTATGTATAAGTTGCATTCGTAGCAAGAAAGGATAGAAATAAAAGAATGAATTAGAAAGGTGCTATGTCGATCCGAGTACAATTATCAGAATATCAAAAGTCACTCGTGCCAGTTTGATATACAATGGAACGCTACATTCCGAAAGGTGGAACTTAGCATAATCATGAGTTAATTTCTTTGTCAAACCTACTAATGTGCCTAAACTAAATAAAAGAAGGCACTATCTTACATAGCAAATAGGACTCCTTACAAGTACTTCAATGCGGAATGTGTGTTTGCATTGCGCGCATATGTGCCAATTTCCATTTTTTTTCCTAGCTTTATATCTGCTATAGCAAACTGACCTTGTAATTTCCACACACACAAGTCCCACATTTTACTGCAAAAATTGTGGAAAAAGGAAAACTGTTGGGACCTTATGGCTTCTTGTTGTCTTTGATGTTGCACGGAGAAAAGAAAACTGTAGCGTCATAAAAAGAAAATGTGAGTATTAATCTTGATACTTTTTTCGACACAATCATGATGTTAGTTCTTTATCATTACCTTTGTAGCAAGCAAGGGTAAGAAATAAAATGATGAATTAGAAAGGTACTACTATGTTGATTCAGTACAAACAACAAAATGTCTGTTTCGCCTTTTTCCATGAAAAATCATTCTCGAGAACAATGTGATATAAATGCTACTTTCTAAATGATCATAGTTATTTTTTTTTTTTTGGCTAACCTATAAATGTGCTTAAACTATTTTGCAGACACAATTTTCTTGTGCAATTAAATTAGAAAAGCAATCCATCATGCATGACAAATCGGATTCCTTATAAGTACTTGTCTACATATCTGGCAAATCGTGTTTCTACTTGTGCATTTGTGCCATTTTCATGTTTTCATATCTTCATATTTGTTCTGGCAAACCGACTCGGTAACCCCTGAAAAGAAAACAAGAAATGTCCCACCTTCTATTTAAAAAATGGCGGAAAAAAAACTCCAAAAAATTGGGACTTTGGTGTTGTTGTTCGAGGAAAAAATCACCAGTAGCAGTTTAGTTTAACAAAATCAATTATTTCAGCTCTAAACTAAGGGAGAAACCTTATAAGATAGTATCAATATTTGCAAAGGAGAGCTAATGGTGTTGTGGTTACTTTTTAATTATAAATAAATGCTTAAACATTTTAAAACTTAACTAAAAATATGAACAGATCCCAAATAGTTGAGACATTACGACTTGTTTATTTTGTTGTAGAATCAATTATTGCGGTTGGCATATTTAGTGTAACTATCATGCTAAATGTGACATGAAGGAAAAAGATCTTTGCAGCTGAAGAAATAAGTTGTGGTATGTGTTCTCTCTTCCGTTTCAGCTTGAGAGCCGATACCAGCAGTACTTCCATCGAATGGACCGAGTGATATCACTGTTTGAGGCTGTTGCAGGCAGAGGAGTTGCCGCAACTTACACTGCTCTCACAATTCAAGCCATGTCCCGCCACTTCTCTAAGCTCAGGGATGCCATCCTCACTCAAATCCATGTCTCAAGAGAGCCTCTTCCTCACCGAGAAGAGTTGCAAAGCCTCCACCGGAATCCTCCGCAACGGCGGCCGGCTGACGAAACCATGCGGCAGAAAAGAGAAGCTCTGCAGAAGCTGGCCATCATCCAAGCTCAGCAAGCTTGGAGGCCGCTCAGGGGATTGCCCGAAGACTCTGTGGCCGTCCTCCGGACTTGGCTGTTCGAAAACTTCCTTCATCCGTAAGCACTACAACTGTCTTATGCTGCCATGTTTTTTCTTTTTCTTTTTTCATATTTAGATCATATGCACTGAATTATTAGAAAAATAACATCACATACAAATAATGTGAGACTAATAGTAGTAATTCCAAAAGTTCATATTGTAACAAAAAATCCTGAGATACTATAAACTCTAAAAATCCTCTCTAACATATAAACCGATTTAGTCTTTAGTAATTACAAAAGTTTTAGATTGAGATATATACATATATATATATATATATATATATATATATATATATATA